ATTATTATGTGGGGTCAGACAAAGAGTAGTGTAATTTCCGTTTCGCGTGTGCCCTTAGACGGAAACTACACGAAATAATGTGTCCTCCCTTAGTGCTCATCAGGAAGGGGCTTTGTTTGGGCCTAAGTTTGCCTTGCGATATTAGTCGCCAACACGATTTCGTAGTTGATTTGTTTCATTAGGCTAATATTCATTTTTAGTTACATAATGTCTTGGTTACCATAATTTTGGCCCACCCTGTAGTTTGTTTCCTGCAGCGGGGCATGTCGTGATTGCAAACTTAGTAGTATATAAGGCCATGGTCGACAGGATCAACAATATATGTAATGTTCGATTCTTTTGGCATTGCCTAATTCCAAGTTTGTTGCAAATTCTGCAATTACGACAGGTGCGGCCGTGGAAAATAGGTTTGTCTATGATGAGCTAGAGCTGTCTGTAACAACGAAGTCATTTACAGTGTTAGTTTCCCATGTTTACAGTATTACCCGATCCGTGAGTGTTAATGATGTGCGATGATTTTGGTTATGAGAAAGCGATCTCTTGAAAAACTCTGACGGGAGTTGGGCGTCACCGGCGATGGGCGTGTTGGAACTAATTCATTGTTCGTAAGCTGATTGGGGATGGTGAGCGATGGATTTACCGCGGTGAGAACAGGCAGTGGAACGAACGAACGAAGGAACGCGCAAAAACCAGCTTCATCTTATTGTCGTTGGTTACCAGAGCTTGATTTCATCGGCACGGCATTAGTATACAGAAAAGCTTCCTGTAGACGGATGTTGATTCGGAAGCACTAACCACGAGTAACGGATCCTTTATTGAAAAAGATTTGTAAACAGTCTCCCTATGCGGGTTGTCGAGTGCTATCTTCGTGTAGTTCGTAAAGTATAAAAAAGCCAAGCCCCACGGACCCCCTCCCAGACGGTCGACGGACTACTTCAACTCGGTCGGTACGGTAGGAGAGTACTGACGCAAGTGGTGCAGCTGGTCCAGCAGCTCCGCCAAAAGGGCTGGTTTGCTTACCCCAGGACTAAGCCTTGGAGAGAGGGACGGACCCGCGCTCCGCAGGTCCGTCCTCTCTTTAAGGCTTAGTTCTGAGGTAAGCATCAAATTGTGGCGGTTCTAAGGACCGAGTTGAAGTAGTCCGTCCACCGTCGGGGACCCCATCCCCTCCCCAACATTCAGCATACGGCCCCAGCAGAAACGCCAAAAGGGCTGGTTTGCTTACGTCTCGTAACGACAGCAATGGTGGGCAGTAAATATGCGAACTGAACAGTGAAAATAATCAATTTTAACAATAATAAAAGAAACAGCTGTTTATTGATTTATTTTTGCTGGCTTAGGTGAGCTGTAGTAATTTACATTGAGCATTGATAAATTTAGTTAGCACAGAACTTGACCAAGTGAACCACTTACGCAGCACTTCAAATCAACAAGACATTCTCTAGAAAGAAAA